GTCGGTCAGTGTCTGAACRGAGGGTGTCAGAGGATGGAGCCACACTCTGCTCAGTGGTGCAGTACAGATTGCCCAGAGAGGTCATGGATTTTCCTTCTCTAGATATACTCAAARCCATCGGGACACAGCCCGGAGTAACATGCTCTAGGGGACCCTGCTTGCGCAGTGAGGCTGGACTAGATGACCTCCAGTGGTCCCCCCCAATCTCACCCACTCTTTGATTAAAACACCAGGATAATGACACAGCAATATTATACTGGCCATAGATGAGGATATTTGATATTGGTTTTACATTCCTGACCTTCCCACAAAGGGCACTGAAGTTCCATGGATAAAAAAGAACTATAGGGACAAGGTATATTTCAACAGTATTATAATCACAGCAGTAAGTCATAACTGATTCACCTCAATGTGCCTGCAAAATCCATTCTTTTAAGTTCCACAGTAAACAATACAAATACAATACAAAAGAGGAAGGTACTACATATGAAACAGAAAAAATATAAGGTTGGGATGATTTAACAGCATTTTTTAACTATAATCATCTGTGGAGAAAGTCAGCAACCAGATCCTCCAAAAATGAGCCCMAAAATCGATGTAGGACAGAAATACYTTGATTMCTAAATGGTGYTTTTTTCTTCAATTTTGTTTCTGCTTTCATGTGAATTTTGAAAGCCTTCTTAACCTCTTGCTGGATTCCTCTACCGACAAAGTCACTGATGAATTCATGAAGGATATACAAACAAATTAACTGGCGCATTTACAGAAATTTGCAAAGTAGATTCTATAATACAGCATTACTTTGACATATGAGCACTTTGTACACATCCCATGGTCAAACAGTTTGAGGGAAGAAATAAGAACAATTACAGTGAATAAATGTTTATCAATGCTTTTGCCCTTAAGCCAAGATGCACCAAATGTCGCCTAAATTTCTTCTTGAAAAACTGACCACTTAACCCACATTCTGGAGATGATTAAATATTGAAAAGAAAGAAACAAACAAGCAGAGTCAACAAGAAAATAAGACTTGAATGACTTGAATCTGAGAAATTTTCTCAGCTGAGAATATTTTATGCAAATTTGTAGACACTGGCAAGGTGGGACTGGCAATGAAGACAGAAAATCAAGAGTATCAGCAGATTAGATTTCTCTGAGAAAAGCCAATTCTCAGCTCCCTAAAATTGATAAGACTTCTTATTTCCGTCTCAGAATAGGTGTTGCTCCTTTCTGCATTTTTATTTTTTGATTCGTTGTTTGCTTTGACTTATTAGCTCCACTGCCAGCTTTCTTCATTCATAATTCATCCCTTACTGAGAAGACTGAAGAAAAACATTTTTAAAAGAGCTAGAGACTTCCTGGTCTCTAGCTTAGGATATTCAGCTGAGACACAGACAAGTTAGATTTGAGAAGCAGATCCTACAGTTATTTCATTATTTGCAAAGGAATATCATTCTACCAGGATAGACTCCATGGTCAACACAGATGTTTGTCATGATCTACCTAAGGCAGCCCCTGGCACAGCTTGGTTATTCCTGCAAACCCAARTGCTCCCATGTCTGATTTTCTCTGCTTCTCATAAATTTCAATAAGTCTTCCCTGGGGTTCAGAAAAGACAAGCAAACGCTGACTACATCAACACCATTCATTCATCCTCACAGGAATAGATTTCATCCYAAGATTGCAATTCTCACTTGCTTTGCTTACATTTAATAATTGTTACCAGTGCAACTGTATTAACAAACACCTCTGCAAGGTCTTAAAATAAGYAAATCATTGGACTTACCCTGATATAACTTTTCCCTACGAGTCTTTTTAAGAAAAGGTCCTCAGCTCCATCTGCTGGATTTAGATTATTTCTCTCTAAGGCTGAAGATCACACAATACAAATAGATTTATTTTCCATTTGTTAAACATCTTATATGCCTATGAAAGGAATCCAAACTGCTGCTAAGTAGACACCTCCCCAAAGTGCAAAAAGGTAAAAAAAGGGCATCACTTCKACCTGAAGTTCCATAACACTTCTCATTACTGCCCTTAGGAGCAGCAACACCCATCCTTGGTGGACCCACCACCAACTCAGAAGTAATTTCTTGTAATTTGCCCTGTTTGCTATGATAATTGCAAACACAGAGGCCAGGCAGCACTGAAGGTAGGCTGTCTAATGAGATTCAATTAATTATTTCAAACAGCTAAGCAAAAATCACTGGAGGGAAGAAAAAAACAAAGCTTGACTAGTAAATATTAACATGATCTTTCAATCTTAACCTGTAATACTATAAAAACCCACCCACTGATAACACTATGTTACAAGCAATTTTAGAAATTAGTATTTTGCACCTGATGGGAAGCGAGTTCTCTTAATCAAGAAATATCCTCATTTAAATACAACATCTGACAATGAGTTTAGAGATCCCTAAACATATGTACTCATTCTTGCTTCTTCCCTTAATATGCATTGTTTCAGCTCATCAAATACTTCTAATAAACAGCCAGAATTGGATAAAGATACATAAAATTTCATTAAAACATATTTTTAAAATACTATTTACAATTATAAAATTCTAAATCAGAGTTTCTGGGGGGAGAAAAAAAAGCACAAAAATATTTTCACCACCTGTGTGAGGTGAATAGTGTTACTAATAAATGGCTTATCTGCGTCAGTGAAGCAATAAGAATTGTATCAATAAAGCCTTTTTAAAAACTCAACCAAACAAAACACCTGAAACAAACACACACACCAAACACCTTTATACCCTATTCTTTTTATAGGCCTTATTCTGATGCTATTTTTACAAGTGTATTTTCTTTTATCTTAATGAAGCACAGCTAAATTTACACCRGAGTAATTGAAAGCAGAGCAGGGACTGCACGCCTGTTGACTGAGTTCTCCGTGTACTTTGGTGGGATTTTGTTCATCCAAGCACAGGTACAAAATGTTTTACTAGCACAGTAGTAGCTCAGWGGAAAAATAAAACCTTCTGAAACACTTTGGCTGTCAGTCGTCCGCCTTTGGCTGTTTGTTACACTTTATTCCCCCTGCACTAGTCACCAGAGGAGACACTGCTTTTCTTACACTCTCTCTTCTTGAAGAAGATAAATTGAAACATCTGCTTAGTACACAGAGAACAAATCCAGGCGAAACCAACCTTTTCCTCTTCCTATACTATACAGAATTTTAATGCAAATCAATCTGAGATATATCTATTTTCCCCAAATAGGAGGGGATTTTTTGCATGTCTGTTTGTGGGTTATTCATTATWATTAAAATTAAAATGAAATCTCTGTGGTTTCCAACTACATTTTCAGAAGTCCTTTGCTGCCCTCATGCGTTGCAGAGGAAAAGTAACCCTTAAGCCTACACAAAAAACGGCTCCTCCAATCAAGACCAGTTCTGTTTGAAAAAGGCAGTCTGTAGAAATAAAACACGAAAAATAACTGAAAATTTATCTCTGTTCTATTAAAGCTGAGTTGCCTGGTTTAAAATTKAATGACTATATATTAAAAAAAAATCTTATTAGAAAATGTATTCAGTTTGAGATAATCATAATCCTGGAACAACAGATTTCAAGGCCAGGAAGCTAGTTTAGAAAAGTTGATCATGTTAGACTGGTATAAAATCTGGACTTTTTAATGAAAAGTATGTTTTAAATAAAGCATAATTTCAGCACTTTTCTATTGCTTACACTAACTAGCAAAGTAACTTCTGTCCTGTCCCATTATACCGTACCATGGAGAATAAAACCATGTCAGTGCTCCATTWAGGCTTCTGTTACTCTCACAATCAGTACATCCAAAGCTGTGGTGACTACAGCAAAGCTGGTCTTTGGCACTCCTGCTGGCCACTACACCCTGCACTTCTCACTAGGGTCTCAGTGCTCAGTTGCAGTTTGATGGAATTGGCCCCAGAATTTGGCTGCTGAGATACAGTTTTTATGTTATTGTCTCCATACTATCCAATCCCTATGCTAATCCCAGACCTCAATCCATCAATATGAGTTTGTAATGAGTTTATAATTGTAATAACATCTCCATCACCAAACCTGGATTTACAATGATAAACCATATCAGAATAACCAATATCATCTGCCCTGTTAACGAGCTCTTCCATACTCTGGCTATAAGCCGTAAATAGCCCTCTCTGTAACAAAGCCGGGGGCAGTTCAGCCAATCTCCCAACAGCCATGCCATGGGAGGAGAAGGGCAAAGGCAAAGCTGGATCGTGATCCCCACAGGATTGCTCCCCAAGCATAGCGCTGCCAGGTTGGTACTGGCACCACAGAACAGGGCACCCGTGACTGCAAATCGTGTTAACAAGAGGGTAAGTGGGGGCGAAGCAACAGAGAAGACTGAAATGTAGAGGGTTTAAAACATACAAATCTCCTATTTACAGGCACTGCGTAAAAACACCTGGTGGYGAAATTCACAAAGAGGGCTCTGTTAACTCGCAGCGGCCTCATAGAGCTTTTAAACGCTGAGAAACTGACCTGCTTGCTCAAGCACCAGCAAGACATCTCCAAAGAAAGCAWTGGTTTCTCTCCGTGTGTCCTTGCAGCACATGCTAATCTCACTGGAGCCCAGGGGCTGCGGGACCGGGCAGTTCTGCCCTCCCCACCCGTGCCTTCCCTTGCTCCAGCCTGTAACCCGCATTCCTGCTGCTGCCCTTTCCTGCTGGCAGCCCAACGTGCAGGTACCAACTACCTTTCCTCTCGGCGAAGGGCTCGTTTATAACCTGGGAGGTACCTGAACAAGTTTATAACCTGGGAGGTACCTGAACGCTCGGCTGCCCTTCGACTCTCCTTTTGCAGCCCTGCGCGCCAGGCCCGTGTCTCCCACACGGAAAACACCGCTGGAAACATGGCTTTGCCCGAGCGCCACCGAGCACCCTCAGACACAGCGGGCACTCGATTCCCAACACCTATGCAGCGGGACCGGGAGGGGCTCTCCCAGGCCTGGGCGGTGCTGCGGGAGCGGCGGTGCGGGGCGGGCTCTCCKTGAGGCCCCGCCTGGTCCCGCCCCGCCGGGAGCCGGCCCCGCGGGAAGCGGCAGCGGGGCGCAGCCTCCGGCCACGGGCCGGGAAGGACAAGGAGGGTTCAGCCCCTTTCCCTCTCGGAAACCGACGGGCCCCAGCTCCGCGGCTGGAGCTGCGTGCCCGGGCCACCCCGCCATGGCATGGGGGCCGATGCGGGTGCTGGCGCTTCTCCTGTGCCTGSTGCGGGCGGGCAGTGCCGCCCTCACGGCGCCCGCGGGCACCCGGCTTCTGCAGGACGGCGGCGGCCGGGAGCAGGGAGCGGCGGCGGCGGCTCTCCGGGTAGGTGTCCCAGCCATCGGTTCTTCCCCTCGCCATCGGTGCCGGACTGTGGGGCTGGTGCGGCTCGGCCGGAGGAGCAGAAGCGGCTCGGAGCCGCGGGGTGATGGAGGCCGGSAGGCGGAGGCGGAGGCGGGCGCAGCTCCGCTCCGGCGGTCCCGGGACGGGCCCTCCCGGCGCCGCTTCCCGCGGCCCTGCCCGCTCCGTGACCACGGATCTGCGGCTGGCAGGAGGGGCGAGGCCTTTGGGGCATTGGATTCTTCTTTGGCTCTATAAAAGACATGAAGTGGTGGGGTTATAACTCTTACTTGAAGTAATTTTTGTGTATCTCTGAACCACAGGGTTTGTTGCGCTGTCAAAGGACATCAGATGAGTTTGACACAACTTGCTCTCAGCTGGCCTGTTTTCATGTCAATTTTTTGCGCTTAACAAATGCTGATTTGTTATCTGTTGAAGTTAGTCTAATGGCTTTCCTACTGGTTTGCTAGGGATACAGGATAGATTTGAGATGAACAGCTCTTGTTACCTAATTTCATGTTTTCTGTTGCTGTCCTTTTCTTTTTCTACTCTTACGGTTTTATCCCTGCTGCTAACTTAAAATTGCTCACAATTATTTTTTTTATTCTTTCAGGAAAGCGCAAAAAGAATTAGATTATTGAATTCACCATCAAAAGATAATACAACTGCTGTCTATGGAATAAATCAGTTTTCTCACCTGTTTCCTGAAGAGTTCAAAGGTACATTTTCTGGTTACTTCTAATGCTTTTTCTGTTGTTTTTTTATTCTTTCCCAGAAACTTGTGTCTTTCACGTTTACAGATTCTTCCCCTGCTGATAGTCAGCTAATTGACAATGGCTGGTACCAAACTGTAAGTACTTCTGAGGATACAACAATCCTCTTCATGTTCTGTAGTCTTGCAAGGTTGAATTGCCTACAACCTGAATATGTTTTAGTATTCAGGCAGCTGCATTTTTCCTTCTTTCTTGTCACTGTTGCTTTAAAGCTCTCTCCAGTTGCAGCAGTTTCAAAAAAGGAAGATACACAAGGTTCTCAAGTAAGTTCATATTCTCTACCCCAACACAAAATTGACTATAGTCCAAACAATGCTTGGAGGTCCAAGGCTGCACAGTGACCGTTTTRGCTTTCTGGAGCAATATGGCACACTTAATTTTTTTTTTTTTTTCTAGAAAATTTGTGTGATACCTAACTTAATCTTCCCTTCTTGTTATTCATGTCTGTTGTTACATTTTCTGTTCATCAGAGGATTTAACATATTTTTTAAATTTTAAATAATTGAGCAACTTTTCTCGACAAAAACCAGGTGTTTCAAAATCTTTATTCTTCTTATTTTCCGCTTATATGTGACTAAAGCAAAGTATTTTTTAAGTAAGTAAAATGTGGAAATTTTCAAGCAAAATTTGTTTCATGGAGTGGTTATGGTTATTGTTCAATTTCAGAAAATCCTCACACTTCCTACCCACATTCCCTACATAGAATATTTCTGTTCTTTCTGGAACTGTAGGAATATTTACATTTATTCTAATGGTTATTTTAAAATACATTATTTTTTGCAGATTTTAAAATGAGATGTAATCTTATGGTTGTAGCTCTAGATCAAAATTACCTCTGAATTCTAGTAAAGTAGTTGTTGGATATTTTTTTGTTAATATATTTACAGATGTTTGTTTTCTGTTTAGCTATTTACTTAAGAAGCATACCTCACAAAGTTCCCAGATACATAAAAGTGCCAAAGGGAAATGAAAAACCGCTGCCAAAGAAGTTTGACTGGAGGGACAAGAAGGTCATTGCAGCAGTGAGAAACCAGCAGACAGTAAGTCCTGGTGTTTTCCTTYCCTGATTCTCAGCAGGTGGACTGTAGAGCAAAGTGAAGGTTTTGCAAGGGACCAGCAGTGCCTGAAGGCTCGTTGGAGCMCTGGCACAAGAGTGGCCAGTGGAACTTACACAAAGTCATGTAGCATTGTATGCAAAGTGGTATTAGACTTAAAAGAATGAGGTGTAAAAATTGTGCATTTAGATGATGCCTTTTTCTCTGGTCCTAGAATTATGAGCCAGACACAGTTAAAGGGATAAAAGGGTTTTTACCGTGGTATTTAATAGGGTCCTTTGCTGCACAGCTCATCAAGGTGGTAAATGCTAAAATGCACATCTCATGTGATGCATATACAATTTTTATAGACCTTGCAAATCAGCATATGTGACAAGGATTCCCCAGTAGGAAGCTTAATAAATGAAGTAATCCCCCTACTGTAAAGTCCTCCCCCCTCCAAATGAGGCTTGAACCCTGTTTACAAAATGTGTCCCAGAGAGCTGGGACAGCCTTGGCTGAAACCTTGGTTCCTGTGGAGAGCCAAGATAGCACAGGGGCTTCCAGCCTCCAACTGAAAGGTCTTTAGGATGTTTGGTCTCCSTGCCTAGCAGAATACCAAAACTGACCTTACAGTATCAGGCTACAAAATTACAAAAATGTGTGCTGAGAATACAGAGAATATATAACAGATGTACAAAAGAAAAAGGCAAAAAATCATAGCGGCATCATAAAAACTGTGTGTAATACAGTTTTTGATCTAGTAAACTAATTTGGCAAATATTTAATGCCAAAATTAATGGCATTAAAAATACATAAAAATTAAAAATTCAAATTTTGTGTTTTTCTGAAGGAACCATTGTCCGTTCAGTACTAGACCTCATTCCCCTTCATCTGTTCATCATGAACACCTRGGCACACCTAGAGAAGTTTAGATCCTTTCCTGTTGTTTTTCTCCCATGACTGAATCCCTTTGGCTGGTCCACACCAGTATCTTTACCAGTGAATGCCTCAGGGGAACCATTCATGATAGGAAAGTAACCAGACCCATGCAATTACAGTTTATTCCATAGTGGTTATGGTCACTGGTAAAAAACAAGCTGTTCAATCCCCAGTGTCTCCTTTCTGTGCTTCACATAAGACCTTGGGAGAAATAAATGGTGCTTCTTATTTTAAATATCACAGTTCGAAAAGCTTAGAACTGCAGTATAGATTATTATTGTCCTAGAATTGTTGTATTATGTTTAATTTCACTTTACCATTTCTGAAACTGTAATCTGTTTCTACAAAATTCTGGAAAAGCTTACTAATGTGGTTAAATCTAGGTTTACCCTGAGGCCACATTTTTCTTTGGAAAATGGATATCTCACAGTAAAAAGCATCCTCAGACCTATCTTCAAGAGCAAAAATTCGTCAGGAGGGAGTCTTTAAAATAAGACACCCATAAGGCATTTCTGGCTTTCAGAGGGCAATGCAGGGGGGAAAACAGTTCCATGTTTTAAGTGGATTATTACATTTCTTTATTATTGTAAAATGGAATTCAAGGATTATTTGTTTTAAATGAACAGCATTAGAAGACCTCTTTTGCCTCTTTTTTTCTTTTCATATTAGGCTTCAAAAACAAAGCTGACTTTGCTTTCTCCCCCATTTCCCTTTTCTCTCTATCAGTGTGGAGGCTGCTGGGCTTTCAGTGTTGTAGGTGGCATAGAGTCTGCCTATGCAATTAAAAGAAACAACCTGGAAGAGCTCAGTGTGCAGCAAGTTATTGACTGCTCATACAATAATTATGGTTGCAACGGGGGATCCACTGTAAGCGCCTTGAGCTGGCTGAACCAGGTTTGAAACTCYATAAAAACCTCGGAAAACTTCATCAGCTTTCACATTAGCATTCTTATTTATTGGAAAAAAGTGATGGGGAAGGTGAAATGTACCTTTTTTTTTAATGTATGGTGTGCATGCATAAATGCATACACATATGTGTCTGTGTATCTGTATGTATGCTTATTTATTTAGTTTGGAAGMAAGAGAGAATTGGTTCAAGCAGAACTGAAATTTGATTGGAACTTTATGGTCCATGTATRTTCCTGTGAATGTAACAAATCAGTCCACAGGGTATAAAAACATTCCTGAATCATTTGCAGGCATGCAGTACCAGTGTAGACAGAGCCCCTTGTGCATTTACCATTTTGTGGATTTGTGGCACCAGCATCTGGGAACAAGGAAGGATCTTGACATTTTCTGTTCTCTAATTTCAATAGTTTCTGTTGCAAACACTGTAAAATCATGTGTGGGAAAAACCTCAGAAAAAATGAACTATRTTTACCTTTGTTTCACTTGCAGCCCAAAACATTGAAAATGCAGAGAAAGTTTCTACGTCAGCTTTTGCTTGCGCATTTCATTTCGTGAAAAATAAAAATGTGTGTTAATAACATATGTTAACAGAAACATTTTAATATCTTTGAAGTAAAAAGTACTCTCTCAGATTGAATGACAAGAATATAAAAATAATTCTTCAGTTTTTTGAATTTAAAAACCCCTGATTTTAAGAAACTGTAATTCTGCCCCTGAAGAGCAATATAACCATGGCTTATATCAATCTAGATAGCTTGTTTAAGTTTGAATATCAAGAACAACAGAGGATACTCCCCTTGATTCCTCTGAAGCAAAATTCCTTCTTGCTTGGCAACAGAGGGGCCACAAATGAATTAGGCTGAAGAAGTCACTGCCATAAACATCCTGTACTGCAAAAGACATGGAGAGTGTAAAAGGTTGATGCAATACATCATATACTAGCATGAGAATTTGATGCCAAGAACACAATTAGACTTTACAGTATTTTATATAACTTCTTGGGATATTTGTGCTTCTTGAACTGCCCAAGGAGAGGATAGTTTTGTGTGTGGAAGTCATTTGAAGACAATGAGTAGTCCATTGAATGAGTAGTCCATTGAATTCAAGTTCATTGAATGAGTATCTCTGTGTCTTGAAATTGACAGGGTTGCCCATGAGGGTAGTTTAAATCAGAGATGCCTTTTAAGTTTCATCCCTTATTTAAAGATTTCTGAATCCCTTCTGAAGCTGTCTCAATAAACAAGGAATGTAGAGATAATAAATACTTATTTCACAATATGACATTCTTATTTCTAATCTTGCCCAGAGCACACTGAATTTTGAGTGGGTAATGTGGTCATTTTCTATATGTTTTGAGCTGCATAGTGGTAAAGTCAAATGCATTAAGTTCTTGTTCAATTACCTTCTTGCAGACAAAAGTAAAACTCGTGAGAGATTCAGAATACACTTTTAAAGCTCAGACAGGAYTGTGCCATTACTTTGATCACTCGGATTTTGGAGTTTCAATAACAGGATTTGCTGCATATGACTTCAGGTAGTTATTATTGATTCTTTTTATTTGCTGTACTTTTCCTTCTGTGYTCAGCAATTGTGGAGTAAGCTGGAGGAAACAGTGCATTGACCAGGCAAAGGTTATGAGGTTGATTGCATCACTTCTGTAGCTGTGTGCTGRAGAAGGATTAATGCACAACGTCTTTGAGAATTAAGGCTTGCCACAACAAATCCACTCAACACTGCTATCACTAAGTATGTTCAAATGGGAAAGCTGAAGCTTGTGTCTTGAAATTAGGTCTTTTAAATTGATTGTATAAACTGGAACATAGAGTCAGTTACAGGTTTTAATATATGMACATTACACTGCTTTACTATAGGAAACAATAAATCCTACCAATAGTAATTGGAATTTATTGAAAAAATTAGGAAGCATTCAATTACTTCAGTATTCATTTCATATTTACCCACATTTCCAGCCCATGACTTTAGAAACAATGTTGTCARCTGAATTCTGTAAAGACTTCAGCTTTTTATGTTTCTGTGTGAAGAAACTTCTTTTCTRATTTTTATCAGTACAATACAGCTACATACTGAATAAAGACAAGAAATACTATTYTGTCTAGGAATTGTGTTACTGCTAGATATAAGTAAATAAAATCARTCATATCTTTGCCAGTCTGTATTTCCAAATTTCATTATTGAAAATATGCAGTGATAAAAATTTCCTGTTCCAATAAATTAGATAAATAAATATGTATGAAGATGCTACTGGTAAATGTCTGACAGTGGAAATGTCCTGTGGTTTGATATGTTTGAGGTGCATGTTTTAATGTATTATTATGTATAAGAGGTACTTCTGTAGGTTTTAAAAACAATGGGAAATTCTAATACAGAACTAATAGTTCRTTGAATGCTGGTTTTGGTTGGGAAGAGTGATGTACAAGAGTGATGACGTAGTACTCTCCATTGCCCACTAGCTTGACCTAGAAACCTGCTTCTTTTTAATAGCATAATGTATTTGGATCTGCACATGTCCCATAGTTTGTGTGTCCTATATTTGGATCATTGTGTTGTTGTGTATGAAATACATAATTACTGATGTATGTTATGTGGTATGTAGAACTCAGAGGAAACAGTTTTAATTATTTGATTTTTTAACTGTCCTTAACAAGTAAATTACAATCTCTCAAATCACATTAGTGTGCTAACTTCAGTAACTTGGCTTTTTTTACTCACTCCTTTTGCAGTGGTCAAGAAGAGGAAATGATGAGGATGCTTGTCAGCTGGGGCCCTTTGGCAGTGACAGTCGATGCCGTTAGCTGGCAGGATTATCTTGGCGGAATCATCCAATATCACTGCTCCAGTGGAAGAGCAAACCATGCTGTTCTTATCACTGGTTTTGACACAACAGGTGCGTTTCCACCAGCTGAACTTCAGCACAGCAGGTTTGGTGTGGTTTCTTTACTTGCAACTTGCCTTTTGTGGGATAAGGGATTAAAATCGAGAACTTGATATTTTCTTGAAAGCTGTGTCTTTTGATGTCACATCAGTTCTGGAAATGCAGCCTGATCCCAGGAGAAAAACTCTGTCATTGTTTCTTCAGTTCTGTGAGACTTTGTCCTTGTAAAGTCAAGACCATGGCTATGTATGTCTTTATGCTAGAAGAGCCCATATCCACTCTTCCCTTATCAGAATATTAGCTCTGTTCTCTGTGTGAACAACAGTAGGTTTCACTGGCCTATRTCATCAACCCATTGGAAACTATGAGATAGTAAAATGCTAATAAATTAACTTTGCAGAATGTTAGGAGTCTAGAGCTTCTGAATCTTATGTTGTCTCTTGTTCACGAAATGTTTCTTCCAGGTAGCATCCCTTACTGGATTGTACAGAATTCTTGGGGGCCAACATGGGGAATAGATGGATATGTTCGTGTTAAGATAGGCAGCAACATCTGTGGTAAGTCTGACAAAAAATAAATGAAGTGTTAAAGGCCACAGGCTGGGATGTTTCTCCATCTAAGTAAGGCTATAATAAAGTAATAAAATATARTAATATGACAGAGATATAATGAGTTCCTCAGAGAGGCAATACAGAACATTGCTATGCTTTAAAAGAGTCCAGATGGAAAAATAAARTGGTTGCTAGTTCAAGCAAGCTCAATGTAGTAGAATGATTGAAAAGCACTATGTAAAGGTATAGCTTATAAGACATAACAAATAATTAAATAGTGTTGGTCTCTGCCCATATAGAGGAAATGGCATTGTAAAGTATCCAGCCACGTGTGGTGGCTCTAGGTGGGTGCCATCACTCTACTCCCTGTAGAAGAAACATCTGCTGTCCTTGGCTAGGGGCTGCCATTATCTCTAGGCTCAGCTTAGCAAACAAATATGAAAAGTGAATCTGCTTAGGAATTGTGTACCCTGCTTRTGGCTCTTCTTGTAGAATAGAGATGCATCTTTTTAATGCTAGTTCCATCTTGTGCCGTTTTAATGTTTGCATGAAATTTCTCTTTGTGTTTGAGGGATTTCTGTAGCATTAAGTACSCAGTTTCTGCTGGATATGGAGTAAGGCAAGTCAAGCTCCTGTTTCCCATCAGAGATTGCTGAGCCAAATTGCTGGGATATTACCACTAGATAGGAAATGTTGTGTGTCTGTAGTAATTTTATGTGTTAAAGTAACACTGGAGGTCTTCCATTGACTTTCCTTTCCATGTGTGTTTCACAGTAGCCCTCAGTCGTTGCAAGCGATTTTAATTTACCTAAATCTTCTGCAAATAAGAATAGATAATATTCAGTTTGCCTGAACTTTGTAAAGTTCAGAGCAATGAGCTGTCCAGTCATAGCTTTCTCATGTTGCTGAATCTTCTGTTCTTACTGTTGTTGTGTAAACAAACAACTTGGAAAGAGAAATTTAGAAGCCTAAAAGCAAGTCAGCTAGAGATGGTAGGGAGAACAGATGTGTTATTTTCAAAATCTGTTCTCCAGAAAAGCAGGGGTTTTCACCTTTTCTGTAGTGTACCACACAAGAATAATCCAATAAAGAATAGTAGTTGCTCAGTTTTCCACAGAGATGTCTTTGATTTAGAGATGCTCTGATACCACCAGCATGTAAAATTTTTAATATAAAAGCAGAAGAAGGAGGAGATTAGGTTTCAGTTATACACAGTGTCAGGCAAGGAAGAAATAAAAGGGTTGCAGATGATTMCCTGGATTCCYACTGTCATGGCATGGAGGGGAGAGGGCATTAGAAGAATATGAATTCTGGGAAGTCTACACTTCAGTATTTATTAAAACCAAATTTTACTTCTTTTGTAGGTATAGCAGATACAGTTTCAGCAGTATTTGTTTGACAGTTTTCTGGACCTCTACAACTCATCAAAGACCACAAGACCATTTGGACATGCACTCTGAATGAGGTGTAATTCAAAACAACGTTTTCTAATATAAGAAATGGCTGTAAGGGTAATTCCTTCATCTCCTAGCTGGAGTTTTTAAAAATGTTTTTATTTGGAATTTGTGTTGATTGAATATCAAATTTCTCATGGAGTAAGAAGACTCAGAATCAACTGCAGAGTGCACAAAAAGAAGTTAMAAAGATGGTTCAAATGTGAACTTTACCCAGATGTTGAATACTACTCTCCATAAAAAAATCTTGAAAGAAGTGGTGGCAAAGGAATTTGGATTAAAAAATCAACAGTGTAAGATTATCTTTGAAAATAAGAAGAATCATGAGTAACAGTTAAGAAAGTCAGCAATTGCAGAATACCTTGAATAGACTGAGTTTTAAATTTCCCTCATTAGTTGAATTCAGAGGTTGAACTTCCTGGGAATCTAAAAGGGGTTCCAGCTTTGCTGAGCAGTGAAACTGCAGCTGYGGGTGAATATAACTAGAACTCAGAACCAAACATGTAATTCTAAAATGCTTTGAACTTTTCACCTGGAATGTTTTACCTGTACCTTTTAAGAAGGCCTACTATGAAAAGYATTGATGCAATTCTGTAATTTTTGCATCAATTATTGTATCATGTTAATAAATACAGTTTTTATAACCTTTTTATGACAAATGCAATGAGTATTTAAAATTGTCTATTGTTAAGTGTTGCTGTTTTAGTCCTTCTAATTGTTAATATTTTAAATGAAAGAAGACCAAGTGTGATGTTTTTTACTTCAGGTTTTGCTACTTACCGAATTTACTTGGCTGAAAACATCAGTTGAACAAAATGTGAAATCATCTGTAGTCTGAGTGTTGTGTAGTCTGGCCTTCCCTGAGTGGCTTACAAACAGATAGCACAACTGCATAACTGGAAAACAATTGCCAAAGATCCTAATGGGCATTGATAGGAGCAGTGCTGTTACACCAGTATGAAACACGGCTGTGCCACCAGTGTTTTTGAGGTGCTACTGCCATGTATAACTACTTGAGCGTCTATGGTAGAGAATTTACCAGAAATTCCAGCCTACAGTCTAGGTGTTTGTCTTTCCAAAGGAAGCACGTAAAAAGACAAAAGTTGGTTTAATGAGAAGGTGACACAGCTTTATCAATATTCCCTAGTCAAAGTTGCCTTTTATTATGTATCAGATTGAATAAAAAATACTTTAAATGCCTGTCATACTCTTGTTTGAACTTTATAGTTTGCTTTAGAAGAAGACTTAACAAAAGACGAGCTTTAATACTGCTTTATTTGAAATGCAAAGTAAGTACTTGAATCTGCTATTTTTAACCGTAGTTCTGCGTAAGGAATTTACATTCTCATGTAATCCATAGAYAGCAATATGATTCTTGATGTATTATAAGTTCAGGATGCTTTGGTTTTTATAGATGCAGGACTTATTTGAATSTAGCTGTTGAAACTTTTAACACAGACTTCCTTTTGAAATTGTACCTAGAGCTCAGAAACTAATAGTCTTCTGAAGATGTTGAGACTGATTATGTCCTCAACTAGTCATAAATTAGTAACAGCCATTAGGCAAACAAGCAAATACAAAAATATGTACAAAAAAGTCACGATCATGGTAACTGYAATTTGCTCCCTCTATCTAAGTGTAGGCTTTAAGAAGCCAACAAAGAGTTAAATTGGTCATTGAATTGTATTGGGGTATCATTTTACTTTTAACAAAGTCTAACTCAATACAGATTATTTTTTCTACAGGCAATTAGGTTTCTTTCAGGAGCCTACTATTCACATAGCTGTCATACATAAATACATATTTACACACCCACACTGTGAGAATGGCTGGTAGCCACACTCAAGGTGGAAGTCATGAAGTTCTTTACAGCAACCAGCCTAGAAAGGCAGGCTAGTCAGAGTCATCACTGCTGAAGTAGGAGCTGTCACAGTATTCTGCRGTGTAAAGGAATTTATGAATGGTTGGGTTCATCTTTGGTATCCAGTGTCTTGGCACTAGAAATGTTGAAAGATTGAACAAATCCACAAACACCTTGTATCTGTCACTGAAAAAGGCAATTGGAACAATAATTACATCAGCATAGAAGGCCATAATTTGTAAATCTTTAGTAATCATTCCTACTCACRTATTTAGTAAGATTCCTTGCACTAACTCTCCTGAATATTGCAGAGCAAGAATCCAGTCCTAATTTTCTAGGGTATAGCAGATTAGGCTTAAAAAGTAGGGCTCTATAGTRACATCTTCTGAAAATGCAGAGTGCATAGGGTGTGATCTCCAGCAGAATTTATCTAGGAACAATGTAAACCTGACATTAAGGAAGAGTGGAAGCGCTTTCTAAAAAAGGCAGTGGAGCTCAGTATCAGTCCAACCATCTGTATTCTATTCTGCCCTCTGTTCCAATGGCTGTGATAGCAGTCATTGCCCACAGCCATATGTGGTGGTTCATGGCCTTTGAGACCAAACCTCAAAGGAGGTCCTCCTGTAAGGAGGTTGTGCAATTCGAGGTCATGCAAGGGAATAAAGAAATTCAGTCCCACACTAACTGGAACTTACTCCCATCCTGTGTCATCTCATTAACTTGGGCCAGCTGGCACACAAACTAAACAATGCAGGGTTAATATTATTGCTATCACTGTAACACCTGGACCACTTGACTGAGAAGTACAGATGGCACTTTGAGTGAATGATCAAAAGGGGTTCTTGCCCTGGAAGGCTTGGAATTTATAGATGTCACCTGATAAATAAAYGTACAACAACCAGGGAGAGAAGCTAGAGCCCCAAAAGAGAAGCAGCAGCCCTTTGGCCTGCAGTGAGCTGTCTGAAATACATCTTTCAGTATTTAGGAACTGCATTATTGCAGGATACAGGAAACACGTTATTCCTACCTCACTGTTGAGCGCAAGTAGTGRTAGCCTGATGAGCCTCCAGTGCCAGCCTTGCTGCCAATCATTCTGTGCACCAAACAGACATGGTTATCTGCATGATATAAAAGGAGAAAATGGCACATGTTCAGTGTTTAGGTATAACTGCACTGTCACATTTATTAATGGTCATGCAGAGATCTTTACAGGGATACAGAACTAGGTCTTCGGATATGCAGGAGTTAATTCTGCCATTCTTCAGTCAATTAATATTAAATGATTCTTAATTCAGAATGAACACACTAATTATTATATGTTACTATGCTCTGTTAATACAGAATTATACATTCATTTATGTATGTCTACATAGGGAAGRAGCAGAAGGAATGTTTGCATTTAAAGAGATGTCATTATGACTTTTCGGGATACATTGGAAAATATATACTTGTCTCTTAAAAGCAGGTCACAACAGTGATAGCTCTACCTATGTATCTAATGATCACAGAAGCACCTCTTTATCTTTTCTCTTAGCTGAAGTACAAATTAAAAAATGTTATTCCTAAATTATAAACTCCAAACCTCAATTCTAATACCAGGTGTAACTCAGACAGAACAATTTGCTTGCATGTAGAAGAGGGAGTGTCACAGTCAAAAAAGTCAAACTTACACCTCCATTTAGTCATGAGCACATCAAGATCCATAAGGGAAGTAAGAAGCTGAAAGGGAACCTGGAAACGAGGCTCTTCCCTTGGAAAATGAAAGAGTAGACAGTGAGACCTCTTAGCATGTGCTGTATTTTTCAAAGTTGCACTTCACCACTGCTTAGTGACCTTAAGTCTCWTTCCTAAATTGGTACTGAAATATCAATAGACATTTTAACAAATGCTTCTGCCATTTAAGACTTGATCTGCACCTTTTCCCTTGTACTTGGAAAARGACTCCAAATCTTTCTAGGACAGGTAGAACAAGGCATTTACTAGTTACAGTCCTGAGAAGCAGYATCTGGTCAAACAAGAAGCAGCTGCCCAGAGGGGATGTGCCACCTCCATCCTTGAAGATATTCAGAACTCGGCTGGACATGGCCCTGAGCAGCCTGGTGTGACCTTGGAGCTGTATCTGCCTAATCAGGATTCCTGAGGAGGGCTGAAATAGATTSCTTTCCACAGCCCATCCCAACCTAAATAAACCTGTGCTGCTGTTCTTAACCTTCACYTACCCTCCTGCCAGTCACCATTAAAGACACATTTTGAATTACCTGTAGAAGTAGATCATTAATGCCCCCTTCAGTGCTTTGTACGACAGTCGTCTCTCTCCTGCAAGATACAAGTGTGCTTAGTTTGTTGCTCATTCTGCAAAGGTAATGCTATTATGTGATTATAAATAATATGTCTAAAACATGCAAAGTGAAAATTGACATATGGTAATACAATCTACCTTTACTGAGCAGATGTTCATGGCGTTTTTCATCAAATAACGAAAGTAATACATCTCTCTGTTTTTGGTATTCAGACAATAAGTCATCTTTTTCTTCTGACTCTGCTTTGGCCTTTGGTATTTAAAACAAAGACAAGTTTTAGAATTCAATAGGCAAAATTAAGCACTCAAACAACTCATTATGCAACTTCTATTTAAATAAATACTCTGAAGTTTGCATATTAAGTAAGAACTGTATTTTCAAATAAGACCCKAGTCACTGTCCTTTGAAAAGTACAATTACCAGGAAATGTACAATTAAATAGATGCCAACACCACTCAGATAAATATCCAAATAAATGGGCAGCTTATATTTTTTTTTTTTGTCAAGAGGCTTTAAATGCATTTAATATTGATTTGTTTGAAGTTCGATTTATTTGTTTTCAAGGCAAAAAAAATGACATCCTTGCAGAGCTGTGGGGAAGAAAATTATAAATAAAAAAGTTTACATAAGTTAGAATGTTGTAAATAGATATTCCCAGGAGGTTGATTAATTCTTATGATTTTTTTCATTAAAAATAAAAAAATTAAAAATATTATTTAAAGCCACAGGTCTTAAAAAAGTCAGGGATTCCAGGTCCTCATTTGCCTGCATAATTGAAATGATCACATGGCACCAAATTGCCACATACTGTTAAACAGAAATGGGCTGTTTATAGTGACATTCCATATTCASAGCTCAGGGACTCAAACTTCTATTTACTCCGGATTGTAGATGCAAGTTCTAACTAAAGGTAAAGTTGTAGTTTCAGAAAAATCAGCCATTCCACTGATATTA